TCCGTTTCCTCCTTAGGTAAAATCGGCTTAATTTTATCCCACTTCTGACACCAATTGTTACGAGCTTGAGGTTCGTGACAATAAAAATTGCCGATAAAATTACCTAAATTAACGCTTTAATTTACTTTACACAAATTAAAACTTAAAACACTAATAATTAAACACACTAATTCACTTTATTCCGCTCCGGAGCTTCGCTTGTCTCGCCAAATACAATACTGCCCCGATCGCATCTTGCAGCACCTATTTATATAAATTAGCAAAGAAGCATCCGGAATATTCAAGTAAATGCGCGCAAAGGGACGAGTGTGCGAGTGTAGATTTTCTAGAAACTTAGTTCTTCGGATGGCGCTGTCAGTTGAGAAATTTGTGATGTCATTTTCTGCAAAGCTCCCCTCGATCTCGTTCCTGACACTAGATGGCGCTAGTTGACTTATTCACGCAACAATATCTATCCCATTGGGAGTCTATTAAGGTCATTGAACATAGAGCTGAGGTCCTCCAGCGATACTGCCATAATAGCTACTTAAATAATGTACTTGCCGGTCACCATTTATCTTAATATCGTATCCCTTCATCCTAAAAACGTCTTCCAATACAGCAAAAAAGACTTGGAGATATAACGGTGCCCTGTCTTAGACCAGTTGGATAGGTTTCATAATCTGATTCTGTACTTGGAAAACCATCATAACCCTACCTTTACACAGCAAGGTTATATAAAAACTTCTATATACCAAGTACCAACAGTCAACTTGGCACTGCTGAAAGTTCTTCGAGCCACAGTAACAACGGACCATCTTATGATCTTTTGTTGTTTTTTGTAAAATGTAAATTATACTGTTGTCATTTCATGTGTCCTTATATCGTCTTCCAGGTTGTAAATATCTTTAACCTGTTCATAACGTTCGGCGACACATTTCTTCCGACGCCCGCCTCCTACGACCAGCTGTATTACGAGTTGATACGAATGCATCAGGTGTTCAACGATCTTTTCTTTATAGGTAAGTCCATTTATACGTTATCTTTACAATTTTCTAATCAGTATGTCTTATAATAATAAAAATATCTCATTTAGAATATCATAAAATGTTCAATAACATATTTTTAGATTTATATTCAACCGTGTTGAATCAATTTGGTTTAATCCAATAAAGTCAGCAGTTTTTATATAGGTAAGGTGACAAAAGAGCACACTGTCCACTCGATCGTAAGTGGATACTGTGATCCCTAAAACATCTTTATCTATCCTCGATAAAGAATCATGATGTGTCACTTTGCGCTTTCTGGAAGATTTTGGAAGGTGATAGTTTAGCATAGTAGAGGCGGTGACGATGACATACTGAGCCGGCAAAACGAACAAAATATTTTTAAGGCGGCGCCACTTAGGAATAAAATAAAATATTTGACAAATTTCATAAACAAAGCCACAGTTGAGAGTACGCAGTCAATACGAATACTGAAAGATGCGCAGTAAACAAAAGAGCGTAACGTACTGCAGTATTGCACAATATGCCTACGCACCCCTGTTTCGCCAGAGTAGTGTCTCTGTTTCATTCAGACAGACGAAATTATGTGTCAATCCGTCTCGCTCTTAGATAAAAGTAGCGTGATGAACATTGGGTGCGTTCGGCAGAAAAAAGCGCTAGCAAGCGCTTGTAAGCAAAATGGCGAAACTAAACAGTTTTCGGTCAGGACACGTTTGCGAACTGCAGTAACGCTGACACAATCCGCCATTTTGCTTATTTATTTTGTTTGTTTTGAAGTAGAGTTTATAAGTTGTTTTGTGCAATATTAGTTTTAAGTAATATATTGACATGAATAAACATATAAATGTTACCAATTATGGACATGGGTGCGTATCATTAAATTAAGCAACCATTCCTTTAATTCAGTTTTATGATGTGTACACCCCAACCAATTTACATCCAATTTCTTTATTATTTCAATTTTTAAAAGTTTTTTATACATTTTTGTAAGCATACTTATTTAGGTAATCATGTATAAGGCCCGAGATATACCTATATAACATTAAAAACTTCTTTGATGGATAAGTTAAATTGCTATATTTTAAAAGGTTGTATTCCCGTTGCTTAATCCATTTATGAAATACATCTCTATTTGTTTGGGTATAAGTCTCAGAGCATTTCCTACAATTAAATTTTTTTGTCACTCTTCTGCACATATACCCTGCTGTATAGGCAGAAGAGTGCACGCGCAATCTTTCATTCACTGGATTTAGTGACCGATCGCAACCGCTAATGTTTTTGGTCTTTGTTATGGGTCCACTACATATAGCATTTTCTTTATCTTCATCAAATATTGATGAGGAACTCTCATCAACATTGGATGAGGATATGAGTTGCAATAAATCTATTATTGTATCTCCTTTATCTTCTTCACAGTTTGCATATATTGAATGTGGACCACCTACATAACATTTGACATTAGCAGTGATTTAAATGCATTCATAAAAGTATTTGCATCAGGATTGACGTTCCTGTAGTTGATGGCTCTGATCCTACCAAAAAAAATTCTCGAGAGGATCCTGATTTACATTTCTAGGATAAAAATATTGTATCTCATATTTTTGGAACAACAGTTTAGACAACCTTTCGAAACTTTCTATAGTTGTAACCCATCCATTAAGAGAAGGAACTCGAACTTTATAGGTTTTGTTATTTTTACGGGCTTTCTTGCTACTTTTATCAATGAAATGAATATTTTTTAATATCTGTTTTGCTTCAGTCCAAAAATTGTAGGGTTGATGGGCGTTCGGCTTTATTGGTCCACACAGTTTTCCCCGGATACTGCTCCCTCGAGAACCATTCACACTATCAAAGAGCTTATCAATGAATTCTACAGCTTCACCTGTTGTGGCCATTGTCTCACTGACATTTTCACCCGAGGTTGTAGTTTCTGAAATATAACATAATTATATAAGTTTTACAGATAAAAGTATACTAAGTAAATAAATAAAGTATATAATTATTACACATAAACAAACAAACAAAAACAACAACAGAGTGTCTCTATCCTATCATTCTCGGTACATTACTTTGAACTTCTAGATTGAAACTTAATTAGTAAGAATCAAATTCTTTTTAAACAAAGATTAAATATATATTATAGTGTGAATTAATTCAAATATTACATCAGCATCAACTATCTGCCAGTGAGTCCTGTCAAAGTCGGTCCAGCTGTTTCAGAGATTAGCCCGAACAAACAGAATAATAGACATGTGAATTAGATTTATTTATATAGTTTATTATATAATAGTTATTTATTCAATTCCATTTATTTGTGTAGATTATTTGATAAGGCATATTGATAACAAAGTAAAAACTTACTGAACAATGCAGTGTATTTAAGCATTCCACTGGTTGTTGCACTCAGAGTTTGGGCAGCTACACTAACTTTCATCTTCTTCATTTTTGCTGCGTAAACATGGTGCTCTGTTAACTTTTTATGCATTCTAGTATGACCTAGTTGGCAATCAGAGTCAAATACAGTGTCTATATCCTTCCATGTGGCAACTTTGCCCTTGAAAACCATGTCTTTTGTAAGAAGGTTGTTTCTAAGCCCTTTAAGTAAGTGCGGCAGATCATATACCACACTTAACTGTTGTCCTGATATCTCAATAGTTCCATCTGCAAACAAACAAATATTATGTTCAACAAGTTAATTTCATGGATTACAGACCCAATCTTACTAATTTATAAATGTCAAAGTTTAGATGTTTGTTATGCAATTGCAGTTTAACAGCTGAACACATTTAGATGAAATTTGGTACACAGATAGACCACAACCTCGACTGACATACAGGCGGATATTTTGATATTATAATGATGATGGATACTTTTAATTCCAGATCATTTCCAATGGCTATGCGGACAATGTACATGTTAAGGCTATTTATGATTTTATTTGTAAAGTGAGGTTATCTACTGACCGTTATATTCCTCATTTAAAATCCTCTTGCGTTCAGTCTCCATTTTTATTATATTTATGTCTGTTCATGGTCACACACAATAGCTAAAGGTATGAAATCAGACGCTGACACTTTAGTGACCTCTTCCTTTAAAATCCTTGCTACTGTAGCAGCTGCAGTTGTTCCCTCACAAAAAAAGTAGCACCGTGGCTGTCTCCAGTTTGAGCACACTCCTTTTAGCATGAATACTAAAGCATGGTCGCAAAACCTCAATTCTTTTCCATACCCAAAGTCTTTAAAACCTCTTATCTCATCTTGGGACTCAACATAAGTGAGATGGGATGTAAGACTAACTTCATCAAACAAAATAGAGCACAGTTTTTTTTTGTGTCCCAATTTTTTGTTTTGTGCTTTAGTACTCTAAAAATATTATCATTTAGCCCTACATTGAATATTATATTTTCAGCAAGACGGTTTAGTGTTCTTTTAATGGGCAAATTAAATATTTTTTGTAACAACATATAACCTTTTGGGCTCTCCTTCATTAGGGTCAATGCTAAATGCTTTTCGTTGGTAGTGTATCTCATTGCCTTCTTCTTTCTGTTTGCCATTTTTAATTGCATGAGTAGAAAATCTTGTGCTTGTTGTGACATTTTATTAAAATTTTTATTAAACAATTGGCTGCAGCTCAGAGTCTTAGCAGCATCCAATCTTTGCAAAAATGATTTCTGTGACTTATTTTCCTTAATGGCCATTTTTCTCATTTTTTTTATAAAGCACCTACAATTTGTGGTCAATTTATTAGCTGTAAAAGAATAATTACATCATTTAGTTCATAAACTGTTATAATATGCATTGACAAAGTACTTTTTTTAGATTTTATTCATGAAGCATAACAAGTGTAAAGAATTTTATCATATGTATGCTGTACATGACTTATTGTGTTTCTACACAATAAGGCATGATAAATTTCTTTTCTGAAAGAGTTTTGAGTACCATATGTTTCTGCAACTAATATTACTGTGAGATTTGTAAAAAGCTCTTTAAAGTTTTTGTTAAAAAAATGTTAGTGTTAAAAAGATTTACCTCCTCCCCCAATAACAATTTTTATTGGTGCTTTATTTTTTAAATGAGTTCGCTTCACACTGCAAATTAAATCTGTAAATAGAAGAAACATTCATTTATAAGTAAGGGTGATTCAAGAATATAAGGCACCTATTTAGGAAACTCAGCAATGTTTTAATTTTTGCCATCAGACTATTTCTTACTACAATATTTTTTTCAATATTGCTTATTAAGTTTTGTTTTTGACATCTCTAAAATAAAATCAATCATAACAACACACATAATAATCGTAGTGAGATAAAAATAAAACTGCTTTAAGATTTTGTGGTAGCAGATAAGTTGTATCATACATTGATTTTATGTATAATTTTAAAATTACTGTCCAAGATTTTACTAACAATAAAGAAATATACATACCTGTCGATTCTGTTTTTAATATTGATATGGAGGGATCTTGGTCAATTTCCATGCCTTCTGTCATTTGTGAGCCAGATGAACTAGCACATGTGTGTCCTAAAACATAGAATTACTTTTTCACAATCAGTAATCAAAACAGATTAGGTAAACTATTAAGAAACTTACTAAAATGTTATTAATTTATTGATCATATGTCAATGCTTAAATATTTAAAAATTAGGTGGCTCTGATCAGAATAAATTCCTACATAGAAAAATAATATAGCATTGACAATAACTGATCCACTGATGAGAAAAAAATGTACTTAAGTAAAATTACATTTCTTTGAAAGAGTTTTCGTCAATTTTTTATTGTATTGTGTACACAAAGATCCCACATGGGCTAAGAAATATAAAATTAAAAACCTTAATAAAAACATTCAAAGTTGTTAAAAATTATTACCAGTATTGAGAAAAGAAGATTCAGGAGGATTTGTAGCTAATCTTGAATATATATGATCAACTGGATGTTCTGAAACGAGAAAAGGCTATATTAGAAAATAGTACTAAATTATACCAAAGTATAAGTAAGATTGAAAAATGAGTATTTATACCTTGGGCAACCACTGGATTTTCCACTATTTCCGCAATGTCTTCCTTTTTACAGTAGTTATGGTCATATAAATGATCACCTGAAAATAACCAAGTTATAACGTTCACTGGTCACGCATGATAAATGAAACGTTACAAATAATCCGAATGCACAGTTTATTCACTTAAATAGTAACAGTATAGGCAATATTTGACACGTAAGTACATAAACGGCGTCTCGCGAACGCAGCGCGGGCGCGGGATCAAACAATAATACACATATGTATAGCTCAGAGCTAGTCGGCTAGCATACTGCTTGTATCGGCAGTCAAAGGTTCGGACGAGTGGCGCGATCCCGTGGCGCAGGTGGGGCACCGTACGAGAGGGGATAGAGAGACATCGGGTGACATAGGTAAGTATCGGCGCGCTACATACTCCCCCCTTTTGACCAAGAGGGAACATCACGAATGGTCAAACTATTAGTTAGCGCCTAGCTGCGATCCTTACGCGGACGACCCCTACGACGCTTAGGAGCAACCGGCTCCGGACATTCTTCACCACCCCTGTCATGGTATTTACGCAGATCCGACACATGATACTTACCAACGCCTTCACCAGTCTTCTGCGAAGTTAGAAGGTAGGTAGTTGGACTGACCTGTTTGGAGATCACATACGGACCATCCTGCTTCGGGATGAATTTAGAAGTAACACCCTTAGCAGCATTACTCAGGACATGTGTCTTCATGAGTACGAGATCACCTTCTTGTAACGGATCCGAACCACGGCGATCGGAATCGGCTTGGAGCTTACGAAGATCCTGTTGATGTTCAATGTTCTCCTTAGCTTCCGAGAGAGAGTCAGCAAGCTTCAAGAGGTAAGGCGTAATCTGAGGGACAAAGTTTTCAGACTCGGTGACCGCTCGTAGATCAGCCTGAACCGACAAAGGAGACCGGAGCTCACGTCCAAATGTCAAGAAAGCCGGAGTGGTACCCGTAGAAACGGTGACTGAGCTATTAAGGGCAAATCGGACGAAAGGCAATATCTCAGACCATTGCTTATGGTTACCCTCCACGAGAATGGCGAGGTGAGATTTGAGGTCCCGATTCTTCCGTTCCACAGGATTCGCTTCTGGGTGATACAAAGGCACCAGGTTCTGTTTTACGCCTAGGACAAACAGAGCCTTCTGCATAACATCAGCCACAAACTGGACACCGTTATCGGAGATCATCCGCCTAGGAAGTCCATACCTCATAAAGATTTCACCAACAAGAGTTTTCGCACAGTTTTCGGCTGTGGCCTCGGTTAGAGCAAACAGTTCGACCCACTTACTAGCAGTGTCCTCCACTATCAAAATCCACCTTTCACCCTGAGGTCCTTTGGGTAACGGTCCAAAGAGATCGACGGCGATGACCTCGAATCGTTGAGCCGGTACCGGAGTCTGGAGTAAGCCGGGCGGTTTCAAGTTGGAAGACTTATACCGCTGACACTCAGTGCAGGTCTTCAGGTAATCGGTGATATAGCGTCTCATACCAGGGAAATAGAACTGCTGGGATATACGATGCAAAGTCCGTTGAATACCTCCATGAGCGGCGGTTGGCGAGTCATGACACTCAAACATAACTTTGCCCCGCAAACTCTCAGGTACTACCAGCTGAGGCTCCTCAGTATCGGTGTTGTCCACGTACCGGTACAATACACCTTGGTTTATCAGGTACCCCCTCTCCGACCACCGATGAACTGACAGCTCATCAGAACTTTCCAAGTCCTTAAGGATTTTGGCTACTTCTGGATCAGCCAGCTGGGCTTCACGGGTTGATGTAGCATCCCAACGTGGAACATCCACAGACACGGGGCAGACACCACATTCCGTCAAAGTGCTATCGATGACTGGACGGCTGAGTGCGTCAGCTAGCACGTTAACCTTCCCAGGGGTGTATTCCATTTGGAGACCAAATGATTGTAGCTTTAAAGCCCAACGAACAAGCCTACCACCAGGCGATTTGACAGAAAAAAGCCACTTCAGGGGTTGATGATCACTTCTGACCACTACCTGGTGACCATCAATATAGCCACGGAATCTTTCCACGGCCCACACAACTGCTAGCGCCTCCCGCTCCGTAGTGGTATAATTTTTCTCGGCTGATGTGAGGAGACGGCTCGCGTACTCGATTGGGTGTTCATCCTGTGGAGACTCCCCCTGGAGTAAAGCTGCTCCTAGGGCAAAATCGCTGGCATCCGTCCTAAGGATAAATGGCTTCGAGTAGTCTGGCTGAACAAGAATGGGTGGTGAAGCCAGAAGGGACTTAAGATGTACGAAGGCTTTGGCCTGATCATCTCCCCCATTGCCAGATCTGTGACTTTTTGGTAAGGCGCGTAAGCGGTTCAGCTACCTTCGCAAACTCTGGTATGAACTTCCTAAACCAAGAGCAAGTTTGCAGGAAGGTACGAAGTTGCTGGAGATTAGTCGGTTCTCTCATCTCTAGGACAGCACGCACCTTATCTTCGTCTGGAGATATACCGTCGTTGGATATTACGTGACCTAGGTATTTGAGCCGGTCCCTAGCGAACACGCATTTTTCACGGTTGGCTCTTAACTTGAACATCCGAAGACGCTCAAATACCGCACGTAAATCAGACAAATGGGACTCAAAGTCCTCTGAAATTACTAATAGGTCATCAAGATAACCTAGAATATGCCTACCACCAAGTGAAGGTCCTGACCGGAAGCGATCTATGAGACGCTGGAACGTTGCCGGAGACCCCTTCAGGCCGAACGGCATACGCGTGAAGCGGTAGGTCCCAAAAGGTGTAACGAAGGCCGTTTTATCCCTATCCGCCGTACTGACCTGCCAGTACCCACTACGGAGGTCTAGCGAGCTCATCACACAGCCCTTCTTGGTCGACTGTAACAGCTCGTCGATACGCGGCATGGGGTATGCATCTGTCTTGGTAACCGCATTTAGCTTGCGATAGTCTACACAAAACCTATAGGTACCATTAGACTTCGGTACCAGGACGCATGGTGCGGCCCAGGCGGATTCGCACTCCTCAATCACACCATCAGCCAGCATCTTGTCTAACTCGGCGCGCATGATTTCCTTCTTCGCAGGCGTGACCCGATACGGGGGCACAGCAATCGGCGGGTGGTCACCGGTATCTATATGGTGTTCGGCGAATGGTGTCGGTTCTCCGACAACATCAAAAACGTCAGAATACTCACCTAATAGATTCGCCAGTCTAGACCTCTCCGACTCCGATAGCACGGTGGCCTCGTCCTCTCGCAACACGTTCAATGCGGCGGCGCACTCAACAGGTTCGCGACGAGTCTCCCATGACAAGGCGTGAAATGTCCGGGGCTGATCAACTGTACGCCAATTCCATTTATCAAAATCAATAATCATTCTAGCCTTTGTTATAAAGTCAATACCTAACAAAGTATCGTTATTGACGGCATTCGGTAAAATAATGAACTCGATAGGTATACTTAAGGAAGCAAGTTGAACATTGACCTCCGTGAGTAGCACCTCCCTATTCCTAATAGTACCGTCCGCAAGCTTTACCGACATCATTTCGGTACGAAAATTTAAACCGATACGTTTCATTAACGCATAAAGTGAACAACTCGCAACACTACGACGCGCGGCGGTATCTAACAACGCGGTACCCGAGTATCCCCCTATACTCACTCGTACGATAGGCCGACCTTGCTCCTTACAATCGGATTTCGAATTCGAGATGCAATTATTAACAAAGATGGACGAAAATACATTTTCAACTTTAATGTCATCATTAGAAGGTATACTTTGTAAACATTTAGGGCAATTTACTCTAATATGACCTTTCTCGCCACAATTATAACAAACAATACCTGAGTTAGAAGAATGAGATCTTTTACTTAACTTATCACAGGAGTCACGGACGTGTCCTCGCGTTTTGCAGTAAACACAGAATAGCTTTCTCTCACCATCACTATTTTTGCTCACACAATGATCACTACGCGGCACAGGCACACGGTCGCGTGATGACTGCGAAGCGGAGTCGGGGGGCGCGCAGTTGCGGCGCCGTCGAACTCGAACCCGAAGTACTATGTTGAAGTCCCTCGCCATGCCTGCGGCTAGGTCTCGCGGGCCCACTCAGCGGCGACGCCAGCGGTTGTGGCGGCGCGAGCGGTGGCAGCGCAGCGTTCTCCGTCAGCGACTCTTCTATAGCTCGAGATCTTTCAATGAGAGATTCGATGTCATTCACCGTATCTCTCGACAATCGTTTTCTGATTCTCTTATGTAGAAGCCCATAAATCATATCTAATCTCGCTTCCTCTGGTAATTCATAGGGTAGTTTCGCTAACAAAGCCCTTATCCTTACGACGAATATATCGGCACGCTCCGATCCTTGTTCGGCGGCAAAAACGTCTCGGTACAACTTATATGCAGGCCGTGGAACTCCGTACATCGAGCGCAAGCGTTTCACAGCATCCGACCACGAGTGTATTTCGTTTCGGATTCCACGCCACCACACTGCAGCATCTCCTTGAAGTAACATAGGGATACCGCGAAGTGCCATCTCATCACTAACTGATGCACAATCCTTATACATTTCCACCGCGTCAATGAATGCTTCCACTGCTTCCGGGTGTTGAGATGAACCGTCGAACCGTGTAGTGCATTTTACGAATGTTCCTGGGATAGATGACGACCGCGGTGACGTGACAGTGGCCGCGCCGGCAGCGCTTGAATCGACATTCGGCGGCGCCCCTAAGTGCGATGTCAGAAGAGACTGGACGAGCTTCTGGTTTGCCTCGGCTTGTGCCGCAGAGAAGGCGGCCAGAAGCGACGAAAGCTGGTTCTCGGACATAAGCACAGGTGCCGCAGGTGTCGGGTTTACAGGTGTCGGCTTCACCGGTTCCTCATCCGAACTGGAGTCATTATTACGCGGTTTTCGCGGTGGCATTATGACTGTGTCCTTGTAGTTCACGTCTCAATATCAAGGAAAAACGCGTGGGTACACTAGGCATACACTCGCGTACGTACTTGTGCACTAGAAACTTCGAGAGCCACGGTAGGTTCGTTCGTGGCCCACCGTTGGGAGCCAATATAACGTTCACTGGTCACGCATGATAAATGAAACGTTACAAATAATCCGAATGCACAGTTTATTCACTTAAATAGTAACAGTATAGGCAATATTTGACACGTAAGTACATAAACGGCGTCTCGCGAACGCAGCGCGGGCGCGGGATCAAACAATAATACACATATGTATAGCTCAGAGCTAGTCGGCTAGCATACTGCTTGTATCGGCAGTCAAAGGTTCGGACGAGTGGCGCGATCCCGTGGCGCAGGTGGGGCACCGTACGAGAGGGGATAGAGAGACATCGGGTGACATAGGTAAGTATCGGCGCGCTACAAAGTGAAATAATTTGAATAAAGAAGAATAGCTATCCGAGCATATTACAGACAATGTTGTTTATGAATTCATTTAGTCTAGTACTTAGTAAAATTCAGGATTTTTATTAATCTGGTTAGTGATACTTATTTATATCAATGAAAGTTTATGAAAGCTTCATCTGACATCTTACAAGAAATATGTAGTCAAATAATGCTGCTGTACTATTGTTGTATAATTTAAAATATATCATGAAAGCAAGAAAAATACATTGACAAAAATACAGCCAGTATTAAATAATTTTTATAAAGAAGAAATTCTTCATCATACTTATACATATATTATGTATGCCCCATTCTATGTTCATTGAAAACTAAAACATGTAATTTTGAGTACATTAGTTGAGTAATGCTGGCAATATATATAGCAGCCAAATGACAAATCGCCGCATAAGTTTAAACACCACGTTACTCAAAACGGTTAACTTTTTAAAAAGAGCAAAAATAACATTTTGAATGAAAAAGTGAACCAGCACATCTATAATTTACAAGTGTACCTATTAATATGCAGAGCTAATGCACTTACCAGTTAAAGGAACCCCGTGCTCGACTTCTTCAGTAGAAAACAGGCATGGATAACCATCTTTGAGACTATTACCCTTATCATATAGTTGGTATTTGTCGAAGTGTTTTTGGCACACACGTTTATTCACTAACTGATCTTTTGAAACATTGATTTATATAACACTAGATCAGTAATAACCGCGCCAAAGCGTTGCCACTGCACATATGGCCACAGCCATATGCCTAGCTAACGTGAGTTCATTGTTCAATGTGACGCCGACAGAATTGAGCCGCGACAAAAATGGGTAAATGCGTAGTGAAAGAATGCTATTCAAGGTCACAAAAACGTAATAAATCAAGCGGCATCACTATCAACACATAATTTTTAGTTCTTGTTTACATATAAACGTAAAAAAACCTCAAATAATTAAATAAAATTATCGAACATTGCCATTTAGATTCAATGTTGCCAATTTTCTATATTTGTGATTATCCTATATTAATGGGAGACTATATAATTAATGGAGTAAGTTAATTTGTTACCTCTGATTTTAAATATTTTGGAAATTATAATAAAAACTACGTTTTAACTTTCATACAAAATAATTAATTATTCTTATTTTAGTTTATTCATGAATTATCTATTAAATATGTTTTATTGCCTATTTTATATTAATAATTTTATATTATTTATAATTTCGTATAAATTTTATATTAATTATATTTTATTAGATACCTATTTTATATTGTTTGATTTATTAGAACCATAAAAATACGTTTTATTTCATCATTATGTTTACTTCTATTCATCTGATAAGCTTTATATCCCTTTTTTTTCTAAGGAGATGTAATAAAGATTTTAAAATAAAATATACTTTTTTTAATATAAAAACAATTAACTGCAGCTTAAAAAACTCATTTTTATTGCGTATTTTAGGTAAAATTTCATATAGTAAGCCACACCAACCCGCCATTGCATGTTTGTGTGTCTATCTTTATCTAATTTTACGACTAGATAAAGATAGACACGACGACGATATTGTTTTCGCAACTTGTGTAAGTGAGATAGATATATGTTTACTTAAAATTGTTATTAGTTTCAAATCTACGACGTCGCGTTTGGATAGTGGTTACACTTTTTTCGACGCGCGGTAATGTGGTTTGCTCCTCTAGTGTTGTATAACTCAATGTTTTGAAAGACCAAGAAGTTCGGAATTCACTGGCACCAAAAACGACAGCCACAAAGCCCTTAGTTTATCGTCCTTTGGTAAATTGTAAAGACGATGAGTTTTGTTGGTTGAAGTAGAACCGACAACACAGCACTTGATAGGAGCCATGGCTGCGGACCAAAGCACCAGAGCACTGCAATATAATTCGTATCGAGCAATGAACTTGGAATTATATCTCAACTCAAGCAATAAAGCGAGGAGAACATAAACCGGCAGAACACGAGGCTACGACACGAATGATAGAAATTAGAACCTGCTGTCAGTTTGACAGGTATACACATCGGCCAAAATGGCTGCCAGCAACATGGCTACCGACAGTAGCGCCATAACGCATTTTTTGGAACTAAAGCTGTCGCAGGCCTGGTCACGGTCAACACTGTTGGCTGTCGGTCGGTCGAGCGGACCTAGGTACTTAGTGGTGAACCGTTAAGTAGAAGGGGAGCGCGGGGGAGATGCGCCACAAGGGTCTGAGCGACCTTTACGAACGTGTCCGTGCGTAAAATAGTAAGCTTTGGATATTTATGAATGAAAATCAGTTAAAATAACGCATCACCACGCATTTTTAATTTAAACGATAAAAATAATGGAATGATTGAGATTTTTTTTAATTAATTTTTTTACAAACAACATTTTGGAACAAAAGTTAAATTTCAATCTATGGTAACCGCTGTTAACTATGACATCTGGACGTTGAACATCTCAGTCCCCCCCGTGACCAAGGGTGCTGTAAAGCACTCGAAACGTCGGGTATTTATAGTTAAATATACGCGATAAAATCCGTAAAAACTAGTATTATTGAAATAAACTAATGTTTGTATAACGATTTGTGAAAACGATTTGTGAAATAAGAATAGAAGGGGAGTTGATCGAGCAAGTAGACGAGTTTGTATATTTGGGCTGCGTATTTAGCAGGGATGGGAGATATGATAAGGATATAGAACGACGAGTGAATGCGGGAAATAGAGTAAATGGGGCCCTGCACTCTATTGTGAAGAGTCAAAATGTGTCGAAAAAGGCACGTATGGCAATTCACAATGCTGTGTTGGTCCCTACTTTAACATATGGTAGTGAAAGTTGGGTGTGGCAGAAGAAGCACGAGAGTAGAATGAACGCAGTAGAAATGCGGTCGTTAAGGAGTATGTTAGGGCTGAATCTTAATGACAGGGTAAGAAATTGTGTAATAAGAGAAGAGTGTGGTTTGCAAGATGATGTTGTGACCAGGATTAAGAAAGGAATGCTTCGGTGGTTTGGTCATGTGGAAAGAATGAATGAGGAAAGAGTGACAAAGAAAATTTATGTTGCAGAAGTGAATGGCAGAGTTGGAAAGGGACGTCCTAGGCGAAAATTTATCGACCAAATTGGCGATTTATTGAAAACGGGCCAAATTAGGAGTACCCTTAACCGACGAGCATGTATGCGGAGGTGTATGGATGTGAAGGAGGCGAGAGAGGTGTGTCAGGATCGTGCCAAATGGAAGTCTGTAGTCTCTGCCTACCCCTCTGGGTGACAGGCGTGAGTGTTTATATATATATATATATATATATATATTATATATATAATATATAACTAATTTTTCTTCACCATTTGCCTATATTTACTTATTCTGAACCTTTTCTGCAAACTTGGCCGGTTATGGTTAAAGATATTTTATTCTCAAAAGAAGTATACATTTCACTTAATGAGAAGTTACAATATTCAAGTTATAAATGGGTTATGAGCATACAGATTGCAATATATATATATATATATATATATATATATATATATATATATATATATATATATATATATATATATATATATATAGAATAACATTAAAAGGAAGGAAAGAGTTTCGTGACATACAACTTCTTACTAGTTTAGGCATACAACTTAATACTTCCTATATTATCTTTTTTGTATTGATGTACAAGTTACCAATCTTTTAGAATACAAGTTAATAAAGTGGGTAGTAAGTAAGGTATTTCTTATCGTTACCGATTAACGCTGATTAGCGGTCGGCATATGGACAGGGTCGGATTTAGAATTTATTCATTATATGTTGTTTTAGTTTGCTTTTAAAGACGTTAAAACTATTTAATATTTTTATTTCTTGTGGTAGTTTATTATATATTTTAACTCCATCAAAAATTATACTCCGTTTACCATAGTTTGTTCGTACCATAGGTATGTAAATATTATTGGTGTTGCGAAGTACTTTCTTTCCTTTGCCTTTATTTGTTACAAATTTTAATTGTGTGTGTATTTTATTATCTAAAATTTTCTTTATTAGAATACAGGTATTATAGCAATATATTTGATAAATATTCATAATTTTAGTTTCACTGTACAGTTTGTCTGTAGGTGTAAAGAAGTTATAATTAAATGATAGTTTTAATATTTTATTTTGGCTTATTTGTAGGTCCTTTAATGTTGTTTTGTAGGTACATCCCCAAATTTCAACTAGATAATCCAGATGTGGTTTGACTAAAGTATTATAAATTGTACGGCGAACACGGTAAGGAAGGCATCGAATACAACCGTAAAGTGAACCCAGTAGAGAAGATAGTTTCGATCTTATTTTGCCTATATAACCTTTCCATGATAAGGTTTTATCTAGCACTAAGCCCAAATATGCCCAAAAATTAATTTATTTATTACTGGGGTCACTCTTCGTACCTGATTTGTATATAGGTGTGACTTTAGCTGTTTTAAGTTTATCTGGAAATATTCCGCTTTCAAGACAATTATTTATACAAGAAGTAAGCCTTGTAAGAATTAAGTCCTTAGTACACTTGACTATCTTTGTTGTGATGCCATCTGTTCCCGATCTCGTATTAGGGTCTAGTTAGTTAGCTATTCACATTTTTAAAAATGTGATAGTTTATTAATTGTATTTTTATGTTTGTTACTAAAAATGTATAAATTATTAACCTCCGGAAAAGTCTGTGGTATCTCTTTAGCTAAGACCGATCCCATTTTTGCGAACAATAAAATAAATTCTTCACAAATACGATTTCCGTCTGTTATTTCTCCTAAACAAGTTTTTAGTTTTGGGGGAATATTATCTTCTCAGCATATCTAAGATAGTATTTGCGGTTGCTGTTGTACAAGTAGCGTATTCTTTTTCCACTTTGTTTAAAATAGTATAGCCAGATTCGCATATTACATTCATAAATGTCTTCGTGTTTTCGTCAACCGTTAGTAAATCTAGGTTGAAGACACCGAACACAACAACTCTCTTTCTTTGTAGTAATTGTGATTCAAAATCTTGAAGAAAATCATTAATATTAGAGTCCCCAGGTTTATATACAAGTCCGACATCTATTTTAAGTTTGTTGAGTGTAATCCATAGGTAATTGTTATTGTGAGCATATTAATCTCACTAGGCTATGCTTTATATGTTGTACGAAAAGAAACCACCTCTGGAGTTTTAAAATGTCTTCTTGTTCTGTTTTTATCCATGTTTCAGTTGGTAATATTAAGTGTATTGGCGTAGCAATAGATTTAATAATGCATTCTAGTTCGTCAAGCTTACCAGGTCGAATAATGCTTCTAATGTATGAGTAGAAAAAGCTCAGAGAAGTACGTAGTGTTTTGATATTATCATATGTGTCTATTATTTCGTATGTGTTATCTTGTTCATGTTTTTTTTATTAAGTAGGGTAGGTTGTAGACATTGTAGTGGGACTTTTAGTTTTTTGAAGATGAAACAATTTTTGGATATCCGTTGATGTATTTTATTATTAGGTTAGATTCACCATTCTGTTGTCGTTTAAGTAGATTATTTTTAAGCTCATTCATGTACAATTGTTGCAAAGGGGGTCTGGTCTGAAAATATTTTTATATTTTTGTTTGTTATTTTATTTTTATTTCTCAGTATTAATTTTGCGGTAGCTGATGAATCCAGATAGACTTTCATCGAACGGTTATTATTTGTTTTGTATTTTCCGATCCGTGATGTTTTATTGGAGCGTGAATAGTTTTCGTGATTTCGCTAATAATATTGAATGCTTCCTTTTCAACGTGTAAACGCCTTTCTTCCCTAACCGATCCATGCAATTCGGGATCACCGACAATTATAATATTTTTCTCTCTGTTAGATCTCTAATTAGCTTCACATATAAGGTTTTCACGTAGGTTTATCGGTAGTGAATTGATAGGTTCCGTACATGCTTCTCTTTTCAAAGTATCTATTTCATTTTCAAGGGTTTTAATTTTTTTGCTCAGTTAGGGTTTTTTCATTTTTTAAATCGTTTATCTCATCTAATATTTTACTGTGTTCTTTTACTAGGTATTCCGTAGTGATTCGTATGTTTTCCACTTGGGTTTTAATCTGAGCAACATCCTCGCGGAATTAAATCATATGTGCATTTTGAGATTGGGTAAATTCATTCAATAAGTTTGTAATGTCACCCACCTGAAAACGCAACAGTCCTGCTTACTAAAGTCTCTACATTAATCCCGCGTACCAAAAAAACTTCAACTGTCATAAGATGTGGGAGTGTTTATACACGCAATTTCTTTAAAGATGAAAAATGCAACTGTGCTGCTTACCGGGTGTGAGGAAGGGAGCTGCTGCCCGCTGCGCACGTTTTCGGTATAATTAATAATTCAGTTCTAGCTTAAGTGATGCCAAAGTAGTTTTTAATGTTTAAGCGCGATGATTGGATTTTGCTTCACTAAAATTAATGATTTATTAAATTGCTTTGCGACACTTCTGGTCTGTATGCTCACTGGAAAGGAATATATTGTTACGAGCTTAGAGTTCTTGACAATAAAAACTGCCGATTATTTATCACACTGATTCACTTTATTTCGCTCCGAAGCCTTCGCTTGTGTCGCCAATTCAATACTGCGCAGTTCGCAGCTTGCAGCGGCTTTAAATACACCTTTTACACCGAAACATCCAGAATATTCCAGTAAATACGGGCGCCGACCGACCAGGCGCAGAAAGTTCGAGTGTAGGGCTTCTAGAAAGCTTAATTCTTCTGTTCGATACTAGATGGCGCTGTTGGTGGAAAGTTCAAGATTGACATTTTCTAAGAAGCCCTTCTCGCTCTGGTCCCCGACACTAGATGGCACTAGCCAGGTACCAGACGTTACCTTACGCGCCTAACAATACTAAGGTTATTGCAAAATAATCATGTATACTTTTCAATTTATTATATGCATTGATATTGCTAATCATAATTGTTTTGTTCTAAGCTTTGCGTTATTCTACTGGCGACGGGGAGTATAAAGCAGATGCTTTGCGATTAGCCAATTGCCTGGTCAATGTCCGTGCGATCATACAGCACTTCTCAGCTAAGATCGATTCCTGGCTAAATTCTGAAAATCTTTCAACACCCACCGAAGAACAGGTAATATATTAAAAATATTCCTAGTCTTTCATTTACAAAAACATATGTTGTTGACGTACCTGCGTGCACTACCTCTATTTTGACAGTTCTTCTTTCTCCAATATAGGTGAAAAATCTTTACCGATTAATCACTAATATTGATGACATTTTACTAACATTATAAAAATTAAGAAACTAAGAACGAAGACTGTAATTTGTATTTACAAATTACAATATTTATTTATATTAATTAGATTTAATATGTAATTGTTATAAATCTACTAAAAATTTAGACATATTTTAATATTTAATTTTACACGTCATTACGAATTTCCTATGCATCTGCTACTTATAAAGGGCTATATACCGCTATAATAGGGCCGATAAAAAGTATCTCATATTCTTCTTTATGACATACGTAGTGACAGCATTTTACTGCTATTTTATATTACTATTCTTTAAGAACTTAGCCCTTTCCTGTTCAAGCAAATTTATTCGTGCAGCCATAATACAGCTTCAGTGTGGCTCTATCACATGGAGACGTCCATCGTCCTGTTCCGTTATTTCCATTCAAAGGAGTAGTGCGAGCAGTGGACGATATTAAGCAATAAACTTAATATCTCTTAACTCCTATTCGAGAATATTTTTCTCGAATAGGAGTTAGAGATATTAGTTTATTAATTAGACGAGATATAGACTCTTGCTTGGGCCAGTGTATAATATAACAACGCCATAATAACATTTCGCTCGCTCTAAAACTAGTGTCAAGCCGGTCCTGATAAAGGTTGATGAATATTCCTTCCTTTGCAGATTTTAGAAGTGGTGCGCAATAGCTACGACAGTCTCATACTGAAGTTACAGGAAGGGTTAGAGGCATATGAGAGGTATTCAGAACGACATTACCGGGTCCTTTTAGTGAAATTAGTCCGTTCGGCGGCAGCGCGCGCGCGGGCCTCCAGCGACGCGGCAGCGCTGCACCGGCACTCCGCCGCCCTGCTCTCACACTACACCACGCTCACGTGAACACACACACGAGCCTGCAGCGCTGCACCGGCACTCCGCCGCCCTGCTCTCACACTACACCACGCTCACGTGAACATACACGCGAGCCTGCAGCGCTGCACCGGCACTCCGCCGCCCTGCTCTCACACTACACCACGCTCACGTGAACATACACGCGAGCCTGCAGCGCTGCACCGGCACTCCGCCGCCCTGCTCTCACACTACACCACGCTCACGTACACATGCGCATTCACACACATACTCGCGTAAACATACATTCATCAATAAACATTCTTGCTTAAACATACCTCCCATAAAAAACACTCTCGCGAACACACCTCCCGCGATAAACACTAACGTAAACACACCTCCCTTATTAAACACTAGTTAAAACGCAACTCCCAAAATAAATAGTGGCGTTTACACACCTCCTTCAATAAACACTCGCGTAAGCACACCTCCCTTTATAAACTCCCGTGTAAACACTCTCACGTAAAAACTTCTCTCTAAATAAACAAACTCAAATAAACCTTTAAGTTAATAAATATACCTTCCTCAATAAATACTCGCGTAAACACACCTCTTTAAAAACATTAGCAAAGTCACATCTCCTTAAATGAACATAAACATTTGTAAACACTTTCGCTTCAAACACCCTCTGTAAATGTCCCCGCGTAAACTCCCTCTTAAACACTAACGTAAAATTATTAATCTCATTTTATACATTCAAATATACGCATCTTTATTTAATAACCTCGTTAAATGCATGTCAATATGCAGCATTTTTTAATTGTTTTTTTTTTTATAGAAAGCGTAGGTACACAGAACTCTAGTTTAATTAAGTAAATATGTAAACTAGAACTCAAAATTTTTATAAACCTGATAAATCTTTGTGATCGAATATGCTTGAATTTTCCATTTTGCACGCCTCACAACGTGAGTGAGTTTTCAGTTACAGCTAGAAAATGAATTGATACCTGTATATATAGTATCAAATAATATTTCATATATGGTTGGATACCTGTTACATAGTATGAAATAAGATTCCATACAGTCTAAGTAGGATCCCTATTGATTTTTGTTATTGAACTGAACATCGTTTAAAACTTATTAATAAAAGTCGATCAGATTCTCTGTTTTTTTTTTTTTTTTTAGAAGTTATCGTCACTTTTTTCATGTTTTAATTTTTAACATAAGCGTGTGAGGCGTACACTTTTGGATTTTCCAAATATTCTTATTTATACCATAGCCGTTTAGTTTTAATGTAAAATACTAAAGAGCATTCTATACAAATAACTTATGTTTATGAATGATATATGTGTCTATATATATAAGCTTGTGTAACGTTAGAATGGTTACCAATGATAATTGAAATAATACACGTTTACATTTTAGAATATATGTAGGTGATGTTGCGTTAACAATAAATTTAATATAAGTATTTACCAAATCCTAAAAAATGATCTAGACAAGCTGATAAAATAAAAAGAGAATGTCTCTTTTAACGCATATGGAAGTTGTTTAAAAATGCAAATATCAAGTAACAGAGAATATGTTTTTTAGCTTGTGTAACTACTTACCTTTGTAGATTATATGAAACACAAAACTGATTTATTAGTTTTAATCGTTATTGTA